AAAAAAAAAAAAAAAAAAAAAAACAAATGGGGAAAAAATTGCATTGATATGGAAGTTCAGAGCATTAATGGTGCAATATGCAGTACGCTTGGTTTGGTGTTATCAGTATGATGCAGAATCTGTAACATGATTTAGAGTTCATCAACTTTTAGCAATCTAATGGCAGTGGGGAAGAAGTTGTTGCAGAATCTGCTGGCCCTGCATCGGATGCTGCGAAGTGTCTTCCCAGAGGAAAACAGGGAGAACAGTCCATGGTGGGGGTGGGAGGGATCATTGATGATGTTAAAGAGGCTCAATAATCATATTATTGATATGATATATTGTTATGTCACTCTTGTTGAAACAACAAACTGTTTGGTGCCTGTTTACATCTTATTATGGCTAAAAAAACCCATAGAGAATATAGATAATATGAGATCAGCAGTTAATGTGAAACAAAAGATGACAGTGAAATATATGTCCTCAGTCTACATCTCTGGTTTGTTTGTTTTTTTCAGATGAAAAGAGGCTCTATTTTCTAACCTGTTTTCTTCAGGCCTGAAATGCATGAGTGTGAAACGATGTGATGAAACAAAGAGGGATAAACTGTCCATTGTTCTTGCTGAGTATTAATCAGGTAATCAGTTTTACATTAGTGATCTATAAAAACTTTTAGAACTACAGCAAACCTGTAAAATTACATAAAAACTCTTTATATTTAGTCTATTATTTGATTGTAGCTTTTATAAATTATTTTCAAGCTTTTCATATCATTAAAGCTCTGAAGAGGGTAATACGTTTTAAAAATCTGAAATACAACCAGTTAATAAATGTAATTATCAAGTTAAACATCGTGCATTGACCTCCAACAAAGTGATTGGACTCTTTAGTAATTGGAGGCTTCAGCAGCCTCTGTAGTTTCAGTTCAGCCTGAGGGGGGAGGTTTTTGTATGATGATTTTTCACTGTGTGAAGTACTCATGAGTGCTTAAAGGGAACTCCCCGTTACAGTAGTAAACTGCAGCATCTTCAGCCTGAACTCCACTGATGGTCAGAGTGAAGTCAGAGTTTGATCCACTGCCTGTAAAACGACTTGGAGTCCCTGATGCTCGAGTGCTGGTGGAGTAAACCAGCAGCTTAGTAACCTCTCCACCTTTCTGCTGGTACCAGTCTAAACGGTTGGAGCCAAAAACATTATGACTGGTCCTGCAACTGATGGTGACGGTTCCTCCTATCAAGGAGCTCACTGCTGCAGGCTGAGTCACTGTGGGCTGGATTTTAGACTCTGAAGAAAAATAAAACATCAGATTTTAAAACCTGACAGCTTCATTTCAGAGGGACAGATGTTCATAGAGGAGAGGAGTTTGATTCTCTGGACTTTACCTGTGAAGCAGCAGCAGAGGAGAGTCCAGATGAGGACGCAGATCAAAGTCATGTTTTTGATGAGGAGGATTTCTGTGTCTTCTGTTGTCATGAAGGACAGCTGTCAGTCATCCAGTCTTCAACTCTCAGGACTATAAACTCTCCCAGAGCGCTGGAGCATGGAGCTGCTGATGCAAAGTGGCTCTATGGAAATACTGACGAGTCCTATATGGATTCAGGATCTAATGGATGATACTATTTAGCAATGAATTAAACAGTTTTTATCTGTCATTAATGTCTAAGTAGTTCATACAGTTGCATACATTGTGAATCAGATTTTCCAATATAATAATTTCACTTTTCAATTTACAAATTATGCTGCAATCTGTTTACCTTCAGGCACAGCCCAGTTAATTGTGTTTTAATGCCAGATTCAGAAAACAACCTTTAAGTAGTTATTAACCATACTTTACACATAGCTCCCATCAGTGTATCAAAAACATTCTGTCTTTGGTTTTAATATAATTGACCAATATTTAACTAAATTAAATGTTGTGTTTTCTTTAGCTTTGGACAGAAAATCATCATAACAGAAACAGAGGCTTGAAAACCTCAGTCGGTGTTACTTAATAACATCAACTAAAAATATCCTTTATATTTAGATCTGCTTGTTAATTACATTTTTGCTGTTTGAATTCTCTGTTCATTTCCTTTTTAGGATGTATTTTTGAATCAAACATATCAAACATAGCTGATCACTGGTTCACTGCCAGAAACACTAATTATACATAAATCATTACAGGAAATATTGGCTCCATTTCTATCAAATATAACAATTTTCATTGAATATTTATTGTTTTTATTCAGCAATTTCTCATCCAAACTAAATGTTCTGTTGTTTTATTTTTATTCTACTTCATGATATTTCCCATAAAGCTGATGTTTTGGTTAATGTGTTTGTGTCAGAGTCAGAGAGCCGTGTCTCTCTACAGTCAGAGGTTTTTTTACGACCACTCAATGAGTTTGTATCACTGTGGTGGACTTTTGGTGGAGGAACCAGACTGGATGTTGGAAGTAAGTCTTTTACTGGATTTAAAATTAAATCTTATATTCTGTTGTTGCTTGTCTTTGGTCTAAAACATTATTTCCTAAACAAAAGAAAAAAAGTCATTTAAAAAATTGTCCATTTAAATCTAAACATTCATTGTAATGAAGAAGTCAGATAAGCTTTTTAGTGACAGAAATATTATTATGGGTGAGAGTTGAAACTACATTTATATTGAAAGCAAAATGTTGACAGTTTTGAATTTATTCATGTTTATTATATTTTTTGTGTAATCAAATAGTAAATTTAATGTAGATGAAGAGAGATCCCAGTTATGTTTGGCTATTATATCGTATATGACTTTAAATATTGTCTCAAATTATTTTCAGTAAAAAAATATTTACTCTAGAAAAAACTATTTATTGTTTTTGAAATTGTAAATCTGCTAAACATGCTTTAAGAGCTGTAAGATTATTGCATAAATTTGAAAAAAATATATATGTTTTTTGTAGATGTTAAAATCTGTTTTTGCAGTTTGATATGAAACAGACTTTATTTGATATATAAAACAATGATATTTCATGTGTAATACTTGTTGATTCATTCAAAGTAAAGTTATGGGAGGTTTGTTAAGTGGAAAGGAAACAATGTGTCTCAGTAACTGTTGGAGCAGAAAAAAAAAACATCTGGTGGAAATATTTTAGTAAAAAGCATCAACATAGTCAAAGTTTCCTGGTGTCATTTCATGCCTTCCTGGTTTCTGTTCTCTAACCTGATTGGTGTCTCCTAGGGGATGCTCGTCCCACCCTGACAGTGCTGCCCCCCCTGCAGTGAGGAGCTGCAGCAGGGGAAGGCCACCCTCATGTGTCTGGCCAACAAGGGCTTCCCCTCAGACTGGAGTCTGTCCTGGAAGGTGGACGGCAGCAGCAGCAGCAGCTGGGAGGAGAACAAGAGCCGAGGAGTGCTGCAGAAGGACGGCCTCTACAGACACTGAGGAGAGACCAATGTTCCCAGAGACAACCTGACTTGTTCTTTTTTCATTTTTTTTTTCACTCTGCTACTTTTTAAAGTGTTCTACAGCCAAGTGTATTGTCTGTAAAATGTGTATCAGATTTCATTCTTAAACCTTTGTTTCTTCTCAAAATTCTCAATTTTTTTACATAATAAAAAAATAAACCATCATATTTGTTGTATGTGGAGTCAATAACGGTAAAATTATTAATAAATCATCGTTTTGTATAAATGAAAAGACATTTTCATTAAGGAGAGTCTCAACTCAACTCAAACTTTATTTATAAAGCACATTTAAAACAACCGGGGTTGACCAAAGTGCTGTACAGGAATCACAGTTAAGTAACAGATAAAAGCTAAGGCTAAAATACATAAACACATAAAAATAGAATATGATAAATGTTTCAATTAAAAAACATTTTAAAATAAAATAAAATTTTAAATAAAATTTTGCCAAATGTCCACTTAGACATGATTAAAAGCCAGGGAGAAGAAATGTGATGTTAAAGAGGATTTAAAAACCTCAAAGGAGCCTGCTGATCTAACATGCCAAGGCAAGTTATTCCAGAGCCTCGGTGCCACTGCCATAAAGGCACGATCACCTTTAGTTTTTAGTCTGGTTTTAGGCATCGCGAGTAGCAGCTGATTAGAGGATCTCAGTGTTCTGACCGGGGCATGAATTTGGAGAAGCTCAGTCAAATACTGGGGGGCTAGACCATTAAGAGCTTTAAAAACAAACAATAAAATTGGGAAAACCAGTGTTCCCAGTAAAACATTTGATTTGTTCTTTTTTTTTTCACTCTGCTACTTTTTAAAGTGTTTTAACCTTCTATTTCTTCTCAAGATCCTAAATTTTTCAACATAATAAATAAAACATAACATCATATCTGTTGTATGTGGAGTCAATAAAGATCAATTAGCAACAAATCACCATTTTGTGTTCATGATAAGACATTTTCACACAGTTTTACTTAATTTAGTTCAATATGGTTTAATGTGGAACATCTGGTCTTAGTCTTATCAGAACTTAGAGAGCATTCTTCTTCTCTATGCCATAAAGTCCCATTAGCTTTGAAACTAAAGGTCAACAAAAAGGTAAGAATGGGTCCAAGCATTTTTTTTGGATTATGGTTTCATCTTCAAATATATTACTTTGTAAACATATTGAATGTTTTTCCTATAAAATAGGAGACAACTATGTAAGGCAGCGCTATAGGTAACCGCCTGGGAACCTGGCAAGCCATAAGAATGCGTTCTGTGGCACGCATGGCCTCAGTTAATCCGTCCCCCCCTCCTCGATGAACGGTTGTACTGAAACAGAAATTTTCTATTGTAATGTAAATTGTAGTTGAAAATAAAGAAGTTTTTTATTTGATTTTGATTGGTTTGATTGTATATCTCTATATAAAGATAAAGATATACAGAATATTTGTAAAATATGTATAATAAGATGGTAAATCTTTGACAAAAGAGGAAAAATAATGTAATGAAATTTATTATGAAAATTGACTGAAAGAGTAGTGATGATGTCATAAAATCAGTCAAAGTGATTTTTCTGGTGAACAATTTTTCTCCAGACAATCTTTTGCGTCAAAACTGTGCGACATTTTTTGTCATTTTAATTGATAGCAAATTCACTGAGATACTCAGGGCCTGTTCAACATTATTTGGTTAATGACCACAGATTATTCATCTTTATCTGTGTCAGAGGTAGATGGTATTGGAAAGACTTTTATAATGAATCAAATATTTGATCCTTTAAGAAATCCAGGTAAATCATATTTACTTTTTTCTTTCTTCAGTATCACAGTTTTTAAATGTAATCTGATATCTAAATAAAATAGGTTTCAAACCATGTCTTTATAAACAAAACAATAAAAAAATGCCATGTTTTGTTTTTAAGTGTTTGCTTTCAGTTGGCATTACCAGTCATCAATAACATTTCTATTCTTTCTAGATTAGTTAATCTATTGATTGTTTTCTATTTTTGTTCAAACTATCTGCTCTGAAACTCTCATGAAACTCTTTTTAGTTTAATTAATGAGCTTCTAGAGGATTTAATCAGCTCTATGTTCTAATTAAGCTGTTCTCATACTCAATATTTCGTTCAAAGCTTCTTTTTTAAAATTTAAATTCCTCTTGAAGCCGTCTTTGGTCTGAACCAGAATTAGAGGCTTAAACAATATTTTTACTGTTTAAAGAATCTGTTCAGGCAGGAGAGCTAAATCTGCATCAAGTTGTCAACAATGTTTTTTTCCATTTATTCCTAAATGCTTGCATTTCACTCTAATCTGATTAAACTTGCTTTTTTTCATGGTATACATGTTATATATTTTTGAGGAAAGATATTTAGATAAACTGATTTTTACTCTGTGTGTGTTTATTGATCTGTGTCAGATTTAAAAAATGTCATGGTCTCATCTGTTTGCTTGTAATACCAGTTATCAGTTATGTTTCCATCCATTCCAGATGAGTTAATTTATTGATTGTTTTCTATTGTTGTTCAAACTATCTGCTCTGACAGAATCTTCAGCTTGAACTTCAGTGGTGTTCAGAGTTTGATCTACTGCCTCTGAAACAATTTAAAGTCCATGAAACTCTTTCTAATTTAATTGATGAACAATTAGAGAGTTTAATCTGCTTTATATTTTAATTAAGCTGTTTTTATATTCAACATTTGGTTCAATTAATTTTTTTTTAATTTAAAATGTTCTTGAAGCTGTTTTTTTCTGAACCAGAATTAGAGGCTTAAACAATAGTTTTTTTTTTTGTTTTTTTTTTTTTACTTTTTATTTAGTATTTTTCCAATTTTACATTAAAACAAGCAAACAGACAAAAAAAAAAAAGAATATGAACAGATAAGGGCGATAAAAATATAGCAAAGATATAACAGAGTCCGAGTTTAGTGAATGTAGGGGTCCCACATGTCTTAAAAGAAAAAGGGTTTATCTGTCGTTCAAGTCTTATTGAGGGTAAGTCCTTTCCGATTTATGTAATCAAACCATTTCCTCCACTGTTCTTTTAGGTATTTGTGCTTGATCCTTAAGTGGTAGGTA